CACATTAACACAGGGACACGGTCCGAGCTCAGATGCTCAGTACTGCTCTCCAGCCACTGGGAAGAGCAGGCCGCACAGACAGCAGGAACACGAAGTCGACTTTTGAGTATCCTCCTATAGCATAAAAGGCTAATATGCAAACCGACCAAACAGAACGACCGGCCGCTATGACACACACTGACCACCAGGGGGCAAATGCTCAGCCAGAAGCGAGGCTCTCTGCTGATGAGCGCAGCACTCAGGATGTCCGTCTGCCGGCTTAGGGCTCTTGGACTGTGAGAGGGTGCAGGCCAAGCTGAGGGGACCCCCCACCCGCCCGCCTGATGGCACGGATTTTATGCACCAGGCCTCTAGTTTATTTGTCTTTAATATTCGTTCACTAATTAGCATTATGTGAGCGCGTGTGATTTAGTCTTTCGTTCTGGCTGTTCTCACAGCCAGCTCAGGGAGACAGGTGAAGGTGAATCCCCCCCAGTCCACATGCTGACGTCCCCGTTCCTCGGAACGCGGCTCTTTAGGAGCGGATGGTTAACGAGGTGATTGCCGTTAAATGAGATCACATGGGCGTCCTGACCCGGGCTAACGGGCATCCTGATAGGAGGAGATCCGGACAGACGCCCGGCAGGGACAGCCCCAGGACAGGGCGCAGCCAGGAGAGGCCGCCTGAGGGCCAGCCCGGCCGGCACCCTCCTGGACTCCGGCCCGGCTGTGGGAGAGGACGGGGGTCAGAGCCGCCCAGCCGGGGGCTTGTCAGACCTAATCCACTCCCCAACTCCCAGCACGAGTCCTTGGCGCTCCAGCGGGCCTTCTGGCTCCCACCGCCTATCGCTTCCCGTCTCCCTGACCCGGCCGCGGCCCCGCCAAGAGCAAGGCCGAGCCTCACTGTGAGTCATCAAACGCTTTTTTGGGGAAAGGCCAGAAAGAAAACACTAGCCCGGTGGCTGTGGCTCAGGGGGTCAGCGTCGACCTACCAGCCAGGAGGTCCCGGTTCGATTCCCGGTCGGGCACAGGCCTGGACTGCAGCTCGCTCCCTAGTGTGGGGCGCGCAGGAGGCAGCCGATCCCTGATTCTCTCTCGTCACTGAAGTCTCTCTCTCCCTCCCTTTCTGAAATCAATAAAAATATGTATCTTCAAAAGTGACATACTTCAGCTCCAGGGAGAAATCTGGTCCCCATCGCACCATTCCATTCTGCCATCGCAGCGCCAGCCAGGACAGGTGGCGTGGCGAGCGCGATGGAACTGTGTGGTGCCATGGAAACACCGACAGCCCGAAACGAAGTTGCCCTGCTAGGCCTCCCTGGGCCTCCCCCGCCCCTGGGCCTCCCCCCTGCCCCTGGGCCTTCCCCCCGCCCCTGGGCCTCCCCCGCCCCTAGGCCTTCCCCCCGCCCCTGGGCCTCCCCCCACCCCCGCCCCTGGGCCTCCCCCCTGCCCCTGGGCCTCCCCCCTGCCCCTGGGCCTCCCCGGGAGTGGGACTAGACGGGCCTGGATTCCTGAGTGAGCGGGGTGGGGAGGAGGCAGCCACCTGCTGAGCCCCCCACCCCCCACCCCGGACGTGGCCCTGGGGAAGGTGGCCGTGCCCAGAGCAGCCCCCTCCAGCATCCTCGCCCCACCCCTGCCTACAAGCCCTTCCTCTCCAGCTCCTGGGGCTCCTTCCCCTGCCCAGACGGTGCCGTCCGCCTCATGAATCATCCAATCAAGCCCATTAGATCGACAAATGGACTTGGTGGAATTGTTTAATCGGCTGAAATGAGGGCTTTATGTAATTTCCACGTGTCACGGGATATAATTATCCTCCTGCTCTGCTCTGAGACTCTCTCAGCGCGGAGCCTGCCAGCCTGACCCAGGACCAGCCTCCTGACCACAGGCCCCCCTCCCGCCGGCCCTTCCCCCCACCCCTACCCCGCTCCGAGGGAGGCTGGGCAGTGCTGGGCCCGGGCATGCGTGGATCCAGAAAACCAGGTCACCAGGACCTTTCTTGTAGGCCCGTCCACCGTTTGCCACGCGCGGCCTCACTCCCAACGGGCCTGCCTCCTGGCAGCCCAGGCCCAGCCCCCGAACCCCAAGGCAGGGGCGAGCCTGGCCTCCCGACCCCAACGCCAGCCCTCAGGCAGGGCCAGGTCGTGGCATCTGCGTGGAGCCGGGGCCAGCGCTGTGCCTGGGGGACGGGGATGGTGGGAACTGGGCAGACGGTGCCCTCCGGACCGGACTGGCTCCCCGCCCCTCTGAGCGGCCTCAGGAGCCCCTCCCACCCCAGAACCCATCCAGTCCCAGTGCTGTGCTCCGGTTTCCAGCCCCTTCGCTCACATCCTGTTACCTCCCACCCTATTCCCTTAAGTTCCCGGGGCCCCAGGGCCCCGTGTTCCCAGTCATGTTTTATGTGACTGTGCTCCACGCGTAGGGTCATGTGTGGCCGGGACTGTCCCAAAGGGTCCCAGCCCAGAAAGACGAGCACTGTCCTCTCCCGGCCGGGAGGGTGGGGGTGGGAGGAGGGCCAGGGAGGGGGGAAGGGGTGTTTCTTAGCCCCCATTCCACTGCGGGGGCAGGGGCTGTGTGCAGACTTTATCCAGGCTCAGGGTCCGACTCCTCCCCTCTTGCAGACTGAGCCCTCTCCCCGAATCCAGGGGGTGCTGGGTCACCCTTGGGCAATCCTCAGGGACTGCTGCTCGCTCAGCCTCCATGGGCACAATCTGTGCCCGCCTTTTCTCGGGGAAGCCTTCACCCATTTAATGTATCGCCGGCAGGAGCCGCCTGGCCAAGCCCAGGGGTTGTCAATGCACCCGTGGGCACGGCAGGCTCGGCCATCTCATGTGGGGGACACCCCCGCCCCCCCCCCAATGATGACACAGCCAGGATCAGGGTGCTGACACCCACAATGCACCAGGCGTGCCCTCTGCAGCGTGGGTGGGGTCCTGTCAGTCTCTGGTCTGAACAGGCCCAGCCATGTACCCCGCTGCCGTAGCTACCAATTCTCCCCGATCCTCCCCAATCCTCCCCACCTCGCAGCAGCTCCCGGCCTGGTGTTCGCAGAGTTCCAGCCAGCGCCAGTCTCTGGGCAGCTGGAGTCACAGGGCCTGGCCGCCCAGCCGGAAGCCAGGTTCACATGCAATGAGTGCCCCTTAACTGAGAGTGTATGTTGGGGCGGGCCTCAAGGCCTCTGGGGCAGACCAGAAGCAGCAGCAGCACCTCCAGATACCTTCCAGCTGCCTTCCCGGGAGCTGGGGCCGGGCCGGGCTGTCTATGGAGCCACAGGCCAGGCCAGGGCGGGAACTGCAGCTGCAAGTCCAGGAGGAGCCTCGCCAGCCAGATGGCGTGTGTGAAACGAACCGGGATGAAGTTACCAACATCGGCTCCCGGGCTCCTCCCCAATGGAGCCAGCAGGTCCGGGCGGCCTAGCCTGCCCCTCTCCCATGCCCGAGACCATGCAGGCCGGCTGCCACCGCAGATGCGGCCCTGAGGTATGGTCTGGAGGGGGAGGGGGGGCCTGGCACAGGCGGATGGCAAGAGGGGACGTGGGCCCTGGAGCATGGCTGCCCTGACACCCCAATGGCGTCACTGACCTGGCAGCACATCACTGACATCTACCGGGTGCCGCTGGGTGCCACGCTCTCCGCCAGGTTCCTCCTTCGGAACAGGCGGGCCCCCAGCCCCACCTCTAACACTGCCATCTGCCTAGAGCCACTGATTAACTCGCTCCACGTGTGTGTGGCTATTTAAGAGACTTCCAAGTGCTTCCAAGTATCAGTTTCCCTTTAAACAGAGAAGTGGGACCCTCAGACCGAGGTCTGCCACGGCACCTCCTGTGCCCTTCCCGAGGTGCCCTTCCCGTGCAAACAGTCACGGCCATGCCTGTTTATTTCTGGGTAACACACTTGAGACAACCTGATGAACTTAAAAAAGGGGCGCACATCACATAAATTTATTAAGAGGCTTTATACAATAAATGGCGGCAGAGGCCTGTATGGTGAAGAACCGAACCCCAGTTCTCAAACAGACCCCCCCACGTTAACCACTGGCCCGAAGGACTGATGGACGCCTGCTGGCTGGTGCTCACTTCTCAAACCATGTTTGGAAAAACCATTTGGAAGACTTGGTTTTACCACTTCATCGAGCACCATGTTGGCAGGACAATTTGAAAGGGAACGCAGTCCTGTCCTGTCCCCCAGCTGTCAGCCCTCAGGGCCGTCCATTCATTGAAGCCAAGGAGATGCAGCTGGAGGTTTGGGAAGTGAAGGACACAGACCACCACACGCCCATCCAGGTGCCCGGCTATTGGCACGAACCACACCGCAGGGCCCAGGGACTGAAGCTGAGTCCCCTCCCTCCATCCCTACCCACGAAACAGCCTGGGCTCAGAACACAAAACAGCCCAGCTCCTCCGCGGCGGCAGCCGGCTCTCGCTCAGGTCTGAACTGGTCGATGAAAAGGAACCTCACTTCGTTAAAGAAAAGAGACACCTGCTCGGGGGCAGTGTGAACTGAGTGGCTCCCGCTGGGCCAGCGGAAGGCTTTGCATTGGGTGTGCCAGCTCCTCAGTCCGGCTGGAGGGCCCGGATGCAGGCAGGACAAGCTTTGCTTATGGGCGGGTAAAGTGCCAATATTATGTACAAATAAGTAAACTTTACAGTCTGCTTCGAAGCAGCGAGGCTGGCCGCTTCCCGTGGCCGAGTGGTAGGAACTAAATGCTTAGCCTGCGGACCAGACGGCCCACGTCCCCAGCAGAGCTGCTGGAGCGACCGTGAAGTTCCGGCCCCTGCCTGCTGGTCAGACACGGACCGGACCCGGACAGGAGCCTCCACAGGCTCCGAGGAGCTTTGCCTAGTTCCCTCTAGCTGAGACCAAGGCCATATGGGCTCATGCTAGGGCAGCCAGTTCTAAAGCTGTCACTAACAAATGTTAACGCTGCAGCTAGCTGCTAAGAGGTAATGTCACTAATTTTTTTGTCGGTTTTTTTTTTTTTTGAAAAGGGAAAACACAGACACACCAACCAGCAGAGAGGGGCCCTCAGAAGTCGGCGTCCAGCGTGAAGGAGTTCTCGGTCGGGCTGGACATCACGCCCATCCGCTGGTACTCGCCCACCCGCTTCTCGAAGAAGTTGGTCTTGCCCTCCAGGGAGATGTTCTCCATGAAGTCAAAGGGGTTTTCCACCCGGAAAACCTGGAAGGGCACGGGACGTAAACATGGAGCCTGCAGCCACCAGAGGGCCCAACACCCCGTCCCGCTGCAGGGGCTCAGGGTTCGATTCCCCGTCAGGGCACCTGCCCAGGTTGCAGGCTCGATCCCCAGTGTGGGGCGTGCAGGAGGCAGCCAACCAGTGGTTCTCTTTCATCACGGGTATTTCCCTCCCTCTCCCTTCCTCTCTGACATCAATAAAAAGTATACACTGAGTGTGTGTGTGTATATATATATATTCCTGAATGGGCAGTTGGCTGGCCTGACTGCTGGTTGAACTCCTGGTTGAGGGGACAATTTGCATATTAGCCTTTTATTATATAGGATACACACTGAATGGCAAGATTATTCTGCATTCAGAGATCATCATCACCTGGCCACTCCGTGTTATTAAAAAACCACACGCACACGCACACACGCCGTACCTTGCTGAAGCCCAGCTCCAGCAGGAGCCTGTCGGCCACGAACTCGATGTAACGCTTCATCAGCGTGCAGTTCATCCCGATGAGCTTCACGGGCAGGGCCTCGGTGAGGAACTCCTGGGCCAAGCACAGCCGCCGGTGAGCCGGAGGCCGGGGACCCCGGGCCACAGGGACCCACCCGCTGCACCCACGAGGCTCTCGCCCCGCCCACCTGCTCGATCCGAACGGCGTTGGTGATAATCTCGTTCACCCTCTGCTCCGAGGGCTTGTGCACCAGGTGCTTGAACATCAGGCAGGCAAAGTCACAGTGCAAGCCCTAGGGGGAGAGGTCGGAGGTCACCATGGAGCCGGAAGACGTCATCGCGAACACACAATCCCAAACGGCCCATCCTCTCTGCATGCGCTTCCCCCCTCCTGCTGGCCACCTGCAGCACCAAGGGCTGCTGCCTGTGCCTCCCCCCAACAGGCTCAGCCCCACCCAGGCTCCCAGTGCTGCCCCCTAGGCGCCGACAGCAGGCCAGTCCTCTCCTGTGTGTGAACTTCACTCAGCTCCCTTCTTTCCTTCTTTTCTAAATATATATTTTATTGATGTTTTACAGAGGAAGGGAGAGGGATAGTGTTAGAAACAACAATCAGCTGCCTCCTGTACACCTCCTACTGGGGATGTGCCCGCAAACAAGGTGCATGCCCTTGACCGGAATCAAACCTGGGACCTTTCAGTCCACTGAGCTACACCGGCTATGACACCCTTCTTTCTATAACCGCAGGCAAACACGTGTGCTCACATGGAGGCTGCTGAGAGGCAGAACTCCAACTCTTCATGCAGGACACGCAAACAATTTCAAGTGAGTCACCCCTGCATGTGTCAGTGCCGAGTCCGTCCAAGGTGCTGACTGGTCTAAACTGGAACCGCTGGCACTTCCCCTCCCCTCCCCTCTGCAGCTGATCCCGGCGCTTAGAGACACGCTGGACCAGAATGGGTTCTGGGTCTGCCAAGATGCTCCCCAACCCTGCATTCCAGCAGCAGAGAACACCAGGAAATACGCCACTCCTTAGAAACCCGTCCTCCGGGGAAGTGCCTGAGTGTGCGAAGACTTACTGACTGGCTGCTGCCTGAACCGGACTCACCTCGTCTCTGCTGATGAGCTCGTTGGAGAACGTGAGGCCCGGCATGAGGCCTCGCTTCTTGAGCCAGAAGATGGACGCGAAGGAGCCGGAGAAAAAGATGCCCTCCACCGCGGCGAACGCCACGACGCGCTCTCCTGTGGGCGTGACACCCCCGGTCCCCGTGAGTGAGTGCGACACCCCCGGTCCCGGTGAGCGGGCGTGACACCCCCGGTCCCCGTGAGCGACTGTGATACCCCCCAGTCTTTGTGAGCGAGTGTGACACCCCCGGTCCCCGTGAGCCAGCGCTCATGTGCCCAGGAAGGGCGGGGCAAGGGGCGAGGGCCGGGGCCCTCACCGTAGGTGGCCTCCTTGTCCCCGATCCAGCGCAGGGCCCAGTCCGCCTTCTTCTTGACGCAGGGCATCGTCTCGATGGCGTTGAAGAGGAAGTCCCTGAGGGCACACGGGGGGTCAGCAGCCCCACCCAGGTCCTGGCCACCTGGCTCGGGGCCACATTCACAGATTTGCTCTCCCTTCTCTGTGCTTTTTAAAATCTCACATTAATGAGGCTTGGTTTATGCTAGAATAAATGTAGGGTTTTTTAAAAAGTGTATTTTTATTGATTTTTTTTTTTTACAGAGAGGGAGAGGTATAGATCAGCTGCCTCCTGCACACCACCTACTGGGGATGTGCCCGCAACCAAGGTACATGTCCCCGACTGGAATCGACCTTCAGTAAGACACCGGCTAGTGGGGCAGATTCCTAGTTCTTTACAAGACAAGCGGCAGTCCTCATGGTATCCCCACCCTCTCTTCCCTGCCCCTGCCTCACACTGTAGCTAAGATTTAGGTTTGACCTCACCGCTTGGAGCCTTGGAGCCTAAAGGCTTTCGGGAAGATGACTATCTCATCCTCCCACCCGTGCTTGTAGGTGACTGCTAGCCCAGTGGGTTTAGGATTCTCTCCTCAAAGGAGAGCTTGGTCCGGGAACTCCCGTGACTCAGTCACTACCTGCCCCTCCGGGGACAGAGACAGGCCTCGCCATGAACAGCGCGTGAGCCCGCAGCGCGCTGGGCCGCGGCGGCACGCACCTCTCCTTGGGGTCCTTGATGTAGGTGTCGATGAGGAGGCTGTACATCTCCGAGTGGATGTTCTCCATGGCGATCTGGAAGCCGTAGAAGCAGCGGGCCTCCGTGACCTGCACTTCCTGGCTAAAGCGCTCCACCTGGTGGCCGACACAGGAAACGCAGCTTGGAGGACTAGGTGCCAGTTTGGGGGCGGGCTGGGCTGCACCAGCTGCCTTTCCTGTGCCACGTCAGGGTCTGCCTCTCTGTGGACTTCTTCCTTGTCCTGACAAGGCCGGGCACGCCCTGCCGCCTACAGAGGCCCCCGTTTGAGAACCTGTTTGGGCCTGACAGGGTCTGGGCTTCTCCCGCCCGGGAGATAATCCTGAGGAAGGAGTAGCTGGGAGTGTGTGATGGGCCAGGAGGTGACAGGTAAACCTAGCTGACAGGCATCTAGACGTGCAAAACTGAGGAGAGGAGGGAGAAGGCCTGGAGGGGGTGCCGGCGGACTCGGGGCGGGGCCCTCACCAGGTTCTCGTTGACGATGCCGTCGCTGGCGGCGAAGAAGGCCAGGATGTGGGAGATGAAGTAGCGCTCCTCGGGCTTCAGGGCTTCCCAGTGCTGCAGGTCCTTGGACAGGTCCACCTGGCGCGGAGGCCACGGGGTCAGCCCGAGGACTCCCGCCTTCCTGCCTGCCCCCCCGGGGTCCTATACCCCTTCCTGGCCACTTAGAACGTGGACCCCCTGGGCCAGGATGCTCCCGCCCCCGGGGAGGAGCCCAGTCCGCCCAGGGCGCCCGCGGCTCCGGCCGCTACCTCCTCGGCCGTCCAGAAGGAGGCCTCGGCCTTCTTGTACATCTGCCAGATGTCGTGGTACTCGATGGGGAAGACCACGAAGCGGCGCGGGTTCTCCCGCAGCAGCGGCTCCTCCTGCGCGCCGGGGGCGGGGGCCGGGGCCCTCTGTCCGGGGAGAGAGGAAGGCTGTCCCGGGCCGTTCTCCCCGCCCGGGGCCGGCCCCCAACCGGCCATTTCATGCGGTCCCCACCGGGATCCATCCTCGGGGAGGCGGTGGGAACGGGGGTGCGCGGACCCCGCAGGGACCCCCGGGGAGGCGGTGGGAACGGGGGTGCGCGGTCCCCGCAGGGACCCCCGGGGAGGCGATGGGAGCGGAAGCCGGAGCGGGGCCGGCGGATGGAGGGAGGCTCACTTGGCGGGAAAGGGGAGGGCGGGGCAGGAACAATGCGGCGGCTTCTGGCCCGGGGCCGGGCAGGCTCCCCTGGCGCCCCCTACCGACCCCCGGCCCCGCCCGGCCCGCTCACCGGCTCGGCCGGCTCCTGGAAGATCCTCCGCGCCGTCTTGCTGGCCAGCACGCGGGTGCCATTGAGGCTCGGGGGCTGCGGGGAGACGCGCGGTGAGGCCCGCCCGGCCCCCGGCCCCCCAGCCCGGCCCCGGCCCGGCCCGGCCCGGCCCCGCCCGGCCCGCTCACCGTGTTCTCCTTGTCCGCCAGGCTGAGCCCCTTGAGGGGCGAGAGCTGCAGCTGCAGCGGGTCGGCGAAGGGGGTGAGCGGGGCGAGCGGGCGGCGCGGGGACAGCATGGCGCGGCGCGGGCGGCGGCGGAGGAGGAGGAGGAGGAGGAAGAGGAGGTCGCACACGGGAGGCTGCGCGCGGGCTGGGGGCGCCGCCGCCCGTCAGGCTTTAAAGCCCCTCGGACCAGCCCCTCCGGGGGCCGGGACCTGCTTCCCCATTGGCTGTTCGGGGGACTGACGGCTCCGTCCGCCAATGAGGCGGCGGCCGGCAGTTTGCAAAGCGCGCGTTTTTCGAAAGCGTCCGGGTGGGGATGCCGCGCCCGGGACACGCCCCCGGGGCAAGGTCCCGGCGGGCGCCGGCGGGGTGCGGGCTGCGGGGCCCCGGCCACGGCCGCGTCCCTGGGAGACGTCACAGGGTCTGAAGACTCGGTGAAGTGGGTTTTTTAAAATGTGCTTTTCAAGTTGGTTTTAGAGAAAAAGGGAGAGAAACACTAATGAGAGAGGAGCAACCAAGTGGGAGGAACATCAATTGCTGCGCCTCTGTGCGCCCCCTGGCGGGGAGGGGCGAACCTGGGTCCGGTCCTGGCCGGGATCGAACCGCCACCTCCAACAGCGGAGCCGCCGGCCGGGCCAGGGCTGGTGAATGGGGAGTGAAGCGTGTGGGAGGCAGCCCTATGCGCCTTCCCGCCCGCCGCCCCCGGGGAGGGGAGAGGAGGGGCCGCGCAGGAAGGGGCGCGTTTCGGCGGCTGCAGTTTTCGATTTGCCCGGCGGCAGCGCGGCGCGGGGGGCGGAGGGCGGAGGGCGGGGGGCGGCTCCACGCGGCGCCGGAGCCATCGGGCCCGCCTGGGGCCAGCAGAGCGAGGCTCCGTCCTCAGCTCAGTCCCCCAAACCCCAACCCCAACCCCAACCCCCGGCCACCGAAACGCACACGAGCCCGCAGAACCGGGGAGAGCGAGCAGCCACGAGGCAGGGAGAGGTCGCCCTTCCCGTCTCCATCTTCCTCTTCCCCCTCTCCTCCTTCCCCCTCCCCTCTTCCCCTTCCCGCCTCCATCCTCCCCTTCCCCCTCTCCTCCTCCCCTTCCCCCTCTCCTCCTCCCCTACCCCCTCTCCTCCTTCCCCCTCCCCTCCTCTCCTTCCCGTCTCCCTCCTCCCCTTCCCCCTCTCCTCCTCCGCGGCCCCGGCACCGCCCCGGCCTCCTCCTCCCCGGCCGCGGGGCAAGGCGCGCCGGCAGCGGGGGAGCCCGGGGTGTCTGCCTTTCGGGCTCCGCGCGCCGCGGCGACAGCTCCCGGGGCGGCCCGCGATTGGCCGGCCGGGGCCCCGCCCCCGCTCCCATTGGCTCCATTCATTCAAGAGACGCGCCGACCGGACCGCTTCCGGCGCCCGCGTGGCTCTGGCCCCAGTGGCGCGCTTTCCCCTGGGGCCGGCGGCAGGGAGGTGTCAGCTGTGCTTGAGCCAGCCGGGAGCAAGGCCTGGGGGGCAAGGAGAGCCCAAGGTCACCAGCTCCTGAAACTGCGGGGCTAGAACACTTCTTCCCAGCTTTTTATTAAGGTTCTCAGCATGAATGAATGAATGAATGAATGAAAATGGAATGTTCTCAGCAAACAGAAAAATGGAAGGTTCTACAGTATTCACCCAGCCTAGGGTTGTGCAATTCCTATCTATCCATTTTGCGGAATCTGCTTGAGGTCCATCTGATTCCCAGCCAGTGGGCAGCAAGGCCGGCCCTCCACACGGTGACCCCTCCCGGTGTGGCCCTGGGCACCTTCCTCCTCTGACCTGGACACTTCCCTTTCCGACCTTCACCTTCGGGATGCCTGGGACCCAGAGGAGGAAGGTGTGTTCAAGAGGAGCAGGGAGATGGAACGCTTCCCCCCAGGTGTGACTTGTCAGCCGGGGAATTTCAAGAGCAAAGCAGTGGCCTCTGGGTAGTCAGGCCAGCCTCCCCCTGCTAACCCCAAAAACCTGCCCAGGGACCTCTCTCACACAAGTCCTCCTTCAGACTCCCCACACACACACACACACACACACACACCCCTCAGCTTCCCCAGGACCCATCCCTGCTTCTCCCGGAGAGGGTGGGCCGGAACACAGGTGCAGAGTCTCAGCCACCTAGCGGCCTGGACCGGGCAGCCCAGGCTGCAGGGCTGGAATCAGCTGGAATCAATTTGTTCCAGTGGCCCCTAAAGCGACATGAAAAGCAGTGCGCCCCTTTGCACCCACTGAAACGGACATTTAAACCTTCTTATCTCGATGAAGTAATTGCAGGTGATGCAATTTCCAATAAGGTGCAAATGTCAGCTTTTTTCTTCTTTCTTTAATCCTCAGCCAAGGATATTTTTCCACTGATCTGAGAGTGGAAGAGAGGGAAAGACAGAGAGAAACATCCATGGGAGAGAAACACATCGTATTGGATGTCAATCACACAAGCCCTGACCGGGACCCCAGGAGCCTGCATCCAAGGTACATGCCCTTGACCAGAATCAAACCAGGGACCTTTTGGTCTGCAGGCTGATGCTCTATCCACTGAGCACACCGGCTGTTGCTTTTCTTTTGAAGTAGTTTTACTTTGGCTGCTGATCACATGCTCCCCTGAGGGGGTAACTAGGAGGTATCAGTCCAGCCCCTCAGGGGAGGACCACCTCCCCAGCCAGCACCCCAGGCCTCTCCAGGGGAGAGGAGCCCCTCCCTGGAAGGAAGTGCCCCCCCCTCCCCGCTGGGCCTCGGGGGTAGGGTAGGAAGGGCTGTTCATTTCCTACAAGAGGTATTTTTTTTTCTTTTTTCTTTGTTTTAAATTTTTGGCCTTTTACCTTTAAATCACACAATACAATACACTTTGGATGCGTTATAGAACTGTACACCTGAAAGCTATATCATTAACCAATGTCACCCCAATAACTTAAATATCCTTATTGTAATGAAATGGTACTGATGGGGGGAAATGAGACATTTTGGGGGGGCTAGCAATCTGAATCTAGTCACTGCCCCTTTAATTACCTAGTCCAGCAAGGCCTGTTGACCCAAAATACTGCCCCATTGTGGAGAGGCCATAAACCATCCCCAGGCGGAGTTACCAGTGCTGGCGCCAGGCCTGAGGTGTGGTCCCACTGCCCCCTCCCCAGCACACAGGCTTTCCGCAAAGCCTGAGAAAGGTCCGGACGTCTGATCCATATGGGGCGACAGAGACCGAGAGGATATAAAACGGGGAAGCCTCCTCCACGTCGGGGCTCAGGGTTTGGAGAGAAACAGACTCGGCTGCCGGTCCACAGTCCCTCCTTATCGGCTGTGGGTGCCGCCACCTTTGAGGGCGGGGCAGTCACTTAGCATATTCCCTCTTTATTAGATAGGATGAGTAGGATTGACTATGGACATCTATACTCTTGGAACTTCCTGGCATTCGTCCCATTGGTGGTGGGTGTTGTCATTTTCATTCTGACACAGGTGCTCTGTGTCGGTGGTGCCTCCTGCTCTCTGACATACGTTGCAGTTACTTTGCCTGGTTTTTCATTTATGTCTTCTTTTCTCTTTAAATTATAACCTTCTTATGAAACAGTTTCAGACAGGGAAGTTGCAAAATTAGTAACGAGTTCCTATGTACCCTTCACCCAGGTCCCTGTCTACACGTTGTCAGAACCAGGAAGCTGTCCTGTGGCAACCCCATTGGTTAATGGTGAATCTGCTGGGAGGTCCCGGTTTCCACAGGCCCTGGTGGCTGTGTGCACGGTTCCTGTGAGTGCCGATCTGAGGAGTCAGAGCAGATGCAGAACTGTCCGTCCACACAGTCCCAGTTAGTCCCTCGCGGTCACCCTGCCTGCCCCCCCCACGCCCCCAACTCCTGGCCGCACCTGTCCGGTCTCCATCACCAGAGAAGCACATGTAAATGGAATCACAGTGCGACACCTGGCGCCTGGCGCCCTTCACCCATAAAGCCCTTGGCATGGGCCCAGGTCGCCCAGCGGCTCAGTAACTTGTTCCTTTCTGTTTGAGTGTTCACCATGTGCTGCTTTGCACAGCTGGTTTCCCCAGGTTTGGGCCATTAAAAAATAAAGCTGTGCCAAAACCGGTTTGGCTCAGTGGATAGAGTGTCGGCCTGAGGACTCAAGGGTCCCAGGTTCGAATCCAGTCAAGGGCATGTACCTTGGTTGCAGGCACATCCCCGGTAGGGGGTGTGCAAGAGGTGGCTAATCGATGTTTCTCTCTCATCAATGTTTCTGACTTTCTATCCTTCTCCCTTCCTCTCTGTAAAAAGTCAATAAAAAAAAATATATATATATATATATATATATATATATATATATATATATATAGCTGTTGTGAATATCCGTGAGCAGATCTTTGTATGAATATGTGTTTTCACTTCATTTTTAAAAAGTAGTAACAACGCTTTTTTTTAAAAAAAAAATATATATTTTATTGATTTTTTTACAGAGAGGAAGGGAGAGAGATAGAGAGCTAGAAACGTCGATGAGAGAGAAACATCGACCAGCTGCCTCCTGCACACCCCCTTCTGGGGATGTGCCCACAACCAACATACATGCCCTTGACCAGAATCGAACCTGGGACCCTTCAGTCCGCAGACCAACGCTCTACCACTGAGCCAAAACTGTTTCGGCACAACCCTTTTGATTTAACTTTCAGCCATTAACTTCTTTTCTTCTTTAGGATCCACCTCGCTTTATGGAGTCGGCTCTGCCCTCACCCCTCTCACTTTGTGCCGTGACTCCTCCTCTACTATAGCTCTTAGTAGAGGCCCGGTGCACGGAGTTCATGCCTGGGGGGGGCTCCCTCAGCCTGGCCTGCCCCTCTCCCAGTCCGGGAGCCCTCGCAGGATGTCCGACTGACGGCGTTGCCCCGCGGGAGCAGGCCGAGTCGGTCTGTGGGGCATCCCTGGCGCTGCCGTGGAGGCGGGAGAGGCGCCGGCCACCGCGCCAGCGTGAGCCCAGCTCCTGGCTGATGGCGCTCCCCCGTGGGACTGAGCACCAGGAGGCAGCTCCTGCGTTGAGTGTCTGCCCCCTGCTGGTCAGTGCGTGTCATAGTGACCATTCGGTTGATTTGCATATTAGCCTTTGACT